CGATTGATCGATTAGGTTCTTTTGGTGGTTGAACGCCACATTTTTACCGGCGTTTTAGTATAACACTATATAGAGCTGCACGAAGGAATGGTGATGTGTATGTAGCGTTAGGAAATTGCAAGATATAGCAAGATTGCAAGATTGTCTAAGTGTAGGATGTCTTGGTCTATTTCTATCCATCATTATTATTATATCGCTTGATTTCTGTCACGCGCCATGAAATTAGCTGCCCGCATTTGATTCAGCTCTGTGTGTCGTAATAGGATGTTTTCATACGGTGGTGGGTCTGGTGAAGATATTTTTTCCGGTGGTATCTTTTGCGATCGGAATCTTCGCTGTGCGCGCACATGCCCCCCCCCCCTCCCCATGTTGTAGTATTATTATGTTAGTGCGTAGCCTATGGTAGTGTATATCACATGATTTTATGCAACTTTTACAGCTTCTTTTGAGTTGAGTGAGTTTCAATTGGTGTGGATGAATAGTATATTCTGGAGGGGATGTCGACGGCAACGAGAGCCTCTCGTAGTGTCGAGGAATATGCAGCGGATATTCCGGAGGAAGTAATAGGAGTGGAAGAGAGGTCTGGCTGAGCGCTCTTAGTCTTGGTACTATACGGTCAACTACATGTTTTGGTGAAAATGTGAAAAACTCAAAGAAGCTTTCGTATTAGAAAAAACAGAGAATTTACATATGAAAAAGTATAGATTTTTTTACGTAAAAGTTGGAAATTTGATGGAAAAAATGAAATGAGTTTTTGATCTTGGCTGAGGAAAGCGAACATACATTCCAACACTCCAACTGATGGTGAATAATATAATCAATGTGAATCAGTTTTTGTCTCTGTGTCGGCGTTATTTTCCAGAATTTTCCGAAGTGAAAGTGTCTATTGTTGTGGTACATGCTCCGCTCGCTTCGCGATTTTAACACTGGGTAGAAGTGTAATAAAACGAAAAGCTATTTCATATTGCCACTAACACACGTAGTTGACCGTATAGTGCATATTTTCTCACATTGATTTTCGACTAGAATTGGTTGATCGAATCAGGCTGGTTCGGGAGAGATCTCAGAAGAGGACGTTGGTTGTGTTACTCTGCCTTGGGCGCCGACCGTAGTGAGTTTCCTTAATACGGTGGACCCAGCAAAGGATTGGACAAGAGATATGGTGGAGTTTGTGTACTGTTATTGGTCGCGTAAGTAGAGGATGAGAAATGGTTGGTCGGCGATAGGAGCCTTGATGGGACGTTTTTCCCCGTGCTAAAACGGTTGAAATATCGATCAATCAGGAAGTAGGCATTCCAGTCAAGTGTTCTGAGAATAGCCCGTGATTTATGGGGGAATTTTTTTCTCACGAATGGATTGGGCGAAAAATTCCGAGATTGGGACCAATTTTCTCGTGCGCAACATCGTCAGTCGAGTTTTTTTCTCTCAGAGAAGTTCGACGATGACGAGCGGATGCCGATCAAAGTGGGTGATTTCCTTAGCCTCACCGCGGCCGATCTGGGTCTGAGCAAACACAGGACGATGGACAGATGGTAGGGTTGAACTCCATATAATCGGTCGTTTATTTCGGAATAAATTACCCACGAATGCCGACGATTATATGGGAACTAAATTGAGAACACAACACGATGCAGAATAAATCGAGATGAGCTTCAGAAGTGCTCGGGAGATGAAAAATTAAGTCGTTTACTATTGCTTTAAACGTTTGTTCATTGCGGAATAAATCGCCCACTTACACCGACGATTATGTGTGAGCTATTCGTGAAATCATCAGGGCAACAGCGGAAGTGATATCAGTTGAAGAGACGACGAGTGTGAGTCGACAAAAGAAGGTAAAGAGTCAGACGATTTGCTGCCGTTTGGCCGATCGAAAACTGTACGAGATGATAGTAAAAAAACGACCAGAAATGAGGGGAGAAAATGGCTGTTTACTGAAAGGTGAGATTGGGAAATATGTGATTTTTTTTCCGGAAAAAAATCAGCTATGGAAAAATTGATTTTTTTGCGGGTTTGGCAGAAAAAAAGAAACTTTTTTATCGAATTTTCATCATTGAGGGGAGAAAACGGTTGTTTATTGTAAGGTGAGATTGAAAAAAATCAGATGCGCATTTTTTTCCGGAAAAATTGTCTTGCGGGTTTGACAGAAAATATAAAAATAAATTTAAAAATTCTTATCGAATTTTCTTCACGTTTTCCTTTGATGACTACGGAAGAGCTTCGGTGAACTGGTATGAACTCGATGAATAATCGATCATCTGGGCGCGCGCTATTGTACTTTGTTTCAGAAAATTTTCTGTATGAAACGAGGGAGGGCGCTCGAGCGTCGATTTACCTTGAGTTGAAGGAAAAACTGAAAGAGGTGAGTGTGATATTCATCATATGATTATTAGTCGGAATTGCCTGGGTGAAAAATTCCGTTTCCGGAATTATTCACCCATGATTGAATGCGCAAGAATAGGAGAGAATTTCCTGGACCACTAAAAAATTACTCGGGAAAAATGATTACTTCATTTTTATATGAGAATAGATTTTTCTCAATAGAAGACGTTTTGCACATCTGTGAGATGTTACCATTTAAGGACATGAATTTTCCAAAATTTTTTTCCTATTTTTCCTATTTTTTATTTTTATGTTTTAGATAGAGCCGAGTGTGTATCGTCATTGGCTGTCGAAACGTGAAGTCCCGCTGAGCGCGTCGGAGGAGGAAAATCGAATGAAACCGGCAAAAAGGAAAAACAACATTTATAAAGGTTCGCTGTGGGTTGGAATGAAGAAAAAAAATTCTCAGAAAATTTTCTTTGGAATTTCTGAAAATATTTCGGTTCAATTCATTTGAATTTTTTGATTTTTTTTGTAAATTTAAATAGCGCTGTATTTACCCGTAATACTCAATGGAGTTTCACCTGTTTTTCGTGAAGTGTTTTTCGTAAAACTCAATGTGAAAAACGCGATATTCGCGGTGATATGCAGTGAAGTGAAAAAAAACACTTGCCGAAAAACATTGGAAAAATCACCACATTTTACGTAAAACATTCGCAGCATTTCGCGAAAAACTCCGAGAACGTTCTCACCATAATAGAATTTTATTTTTGGAACAAGTTGCGTTAAGCACTCGTAACATGGACCTAATCTGTATCTTACCCGCTCGAGCCTAAGATACCCTCCTGTGTCCTTCATGTAGGTCGTCGATCTACCCGGGGACGGGGACGGACGGCGTCTTCGATGAGTAAAAGGAGTCGAACTGATTCGGTGTCTTCACCGCTCAGCTCGCCCAAGGTAAAAAGCGCGCGCCCGATTGATCGATTATTAGAGTTTAGAATCCACCGTCTCCGTCGGTGAGCGTCGGGGATTCGCGAACTTCAGGGGAATCACCAGCGAGTCCGGCGATGACACGCAGTAATTTTGCGATATTTTTTTGCGGAAAATTGTGTTTTTTTCTGGAAAATTTTAGAAAGGTTTTCGGCCAAGAGCCTTCCTGAGGACAGTATCGAGTCGCGAGTTAGGAGAAGCTCTCGTCATCAAAGAGGATCTAAGTTAGGTGAAGCTGAAGTAAGGAGGTCCCCGGTTCGAACCCCAGCAGGGGCATTTTATTGGTGTTGAAATTTGTTTTCTTTTCAGTTGGCGAAGATAATTCAATCAAGGCAGTTGCAGGACAGATCAGCATATGGTCGTTATGTGAGCGATGGATGGTATGAGTTTTCGATAATGATTATTATGTGGATGTGTTTAGTATAAGGAGAGGAGACTTGTTGAGGAAGGGGGAGGGCCGTTGGAGCCACCACCGACGCCGGTGTCACCGGAGCGAATTAAGGTGCCGCGTTTTGGACCTACTTTGTATCTTTAGAATTGAGCTAAGATTCATTTAGAGTAGATGCATATGTGATAAGAAACGGCCTACAATTGGACCTATTTTGTATCTTTTGATTTGAGCTGAGATTCATTAAGAGTAGATGCATATGTGATAAGAAACGGCCTACAATTGGACCTATTTTGTATCTTTTGATTTGAGCTAAGATTCATTAAGAGTAGATGCATATGTGATAAAAAACGGCCTACAATTGGACCTATTTTGTATCTTTGCTGCATGATGCTTTGATTCACTTATCATTTCATGAACGTTTTTTCTCAGGGAAAACCGTCACCTCAGTTACACGAGGGAAGTGCGAGATCGAGTGGGATCCGGCAAGCAGTTCGAGAGGCTGTAGCGTCGGTCGAGATAGTTCCTGAGGTGAGAATTTCGTGGCGCGCGGTAATTTTTTGATGGAAATTCTCGGGTGAAATGTGTTCGTTGTGGTCGACTTTGTAGTGCAGGAAAATTTTTTTCTGGAAATTTCTGGAGTGATTTCATTTGACTGATTGAATGTATATGTTGTGGGTTAATAATTTCGTGGCGCGCGGTAATTTTTTTTACAGAAATTCTTGGGTGATGTTTATTTTAATTGCTGAATGTATGGCGTAATTTTGTGGCGCGCGGTAGAATTGCCCTATGGAGAATATGTAGTAGTAGGTTGACGTTTTCATGACCACTTGTAACCTTGCATTTCCTCTTTTTTACCGTGTTAGAAGTGTTTTAATCATTTTCCGTATTTTTTTATTTCATAATTTTTCTTTTGTTTCCATTTTTTCAATTTTTTTCTATTTTTTTTCTATTTTTTCTATTTTTTTTCATTTTTTTCATTTTCTTCATATTTTTTAATTTTTTCCATATTTTTCCATTTTTTCCATTTTTTCTTCTTTTTCATTTTTTTTCATTTTCTTCGTTTTTTTTATTTTTTTAAATGAGAAATTTTTGATATTGTTTTATTTCTAGGTTGCCGTTGCTGAGAGTAAAGGGAAAGATGTTGAAATGGGTGAGTGCGCGTGCGTGCAAGATTTTCCTGTAGCGTTCGTGAACTGGGGCTTCTCAAGTCGAAAAATTTCAGGAAAATATTGTATTTTGAGAAATTCAGATTCTTATATTTTTTGGGATCTTTTTGTATTATTTTACGTAAATTTCTGCGCATATTTTATTACCAAAAATTGGGTCAATTTTGGATTCGCACTGTGTTAAGTTCACCTTGGTGAGGAATATCTTTGGAAAAAAATCATAAATTTCTTTTCGGAAAATTTGGTTTTTTTACGAGTGTGAATGCAGCGAAAGCTTTCGTCGTAAAAATAGTTTGAGGATATATAATTCAACGTTTTATGTGGGGTGAGAAATTCCGTGTACGGAGTAGTTTACGCGAACGTTTTACACATTACTCGAGTTGATATTGATGAAGATTCTCGCGCGCACGCGGAAGATTTTCAGATATTAGTGCTGATGGAAAAGGCGCGCAAAATGTCGGTCGACCGACGAAGAGGTAGACGCGTGGTATGGGAATTTTTGAAAAGATATTTTTCGTGCCCAGGAAGGACCCGGCAGAAGAGCTTATGGAGGCGGCGGAGAAAAAAGCTAGAAGTATTCTGGTGAGTGCAGGGTGATTGTGATTTTGAGAAGTGGGTGAAGAATCATATTATCTGTGCTGTGCGCGGGGGAACCTTAGATATTTATGAATTTGACATAGGTCCCCGGTTCGATCCCCGGGTTGGACATTTTTCCGTCATTAAAGATTTTCGTGCATATCTCGTCGAGCTGTTCGCATAATCGAGTTTTGCGCAAACCTCGGCATATAGAGGAGTCGTTTGATCTATCTGGTGGCCTCCTACGCTTCGTAGTTAAGCCAGAATAATTCTGCACGCACGCACAATGCGTAAGTGTCTGTTGTTGCGGTATATGCTCGGCTCGCTTCGCAACTCGTTGACACTGCTGACTTGCTCTCCTACTATGAATGATGTAGATTGACGATTTTCGAATTGATAGGGAAAAAAGTTAATTTTTTGTTGTTTCAGTCACAACCAGTCGTTGACCGGGAATATCCTAGCAGGTGAGTCGAAGAGTTCGTAGTGGCGTAAATTTACAGTAGACTTGATATAACTTGCTCTCTTGCATTTTCTCCACGCCAATAAGCAGTATCGATGACCATATGAAAATTTACTCTCAAATTGAAGAAAGCCCCCCATCTCGAAAACGATTTGGTTCACACTGTATTTTTAGTGTGACTAGACTTGCACCACTTGCTCTCTTGCATTTCCTCAACGCTAACATGATGAGATTTATATGTAGATCAATTGTGGTGTAGGTTGGATGTGATCATACCAGCTAATAGAGTCCGACAGCGTCGCAAAGTTGTTGAAGGATTTGCTAGTGCGGTGGATAAGGGCGTCCGAGCGGATCAAATGAGGTGAGATGTGGGCGGGTTCGAATCTTGGGAGGGGTATTTTTTTTCATTTTTCATTCTTCGCTATTATATTAGAGCGTCGTTAATATTGGAGTTTCACCATAGTGATATGAAAAACACTAGTGAAAAACACATGTCGCGACTACTGCATATCACCGCGAGTATCGCGTTTTTCACCGAGTTTTACGCCACTTCACGTAAAACGGGTGAAACCCCATTGAATGGGGAGAAACGTCACCATTATACCGAAATTTCGAATCAATTCTTTGAGTTGATTTTCACTCCTAAAATATGAGAATCTGAAATTTTTCAAGAAAATTTTAATCAGTTTACGCAGCTGGAGTTTTACCCGTGATGTGAAAAAAGGTAAGTGAAAAACATATTTCACGACTGCTGCATAGGGAAAATTTCGGGTTAACCGAGTATTACGCCACTTCACGTAAAACGGGTCGTGAAACTCCATTATTAAACGATGTTAAAAAAGTTGAAATTTTAGACTTGAATATTCTCCATGTTGGGGAAATACTTATCATTTTTCTGTGAATTTTCTGAAGTTTTCTGATATGGTCATGAATTTTTTTCAGAAGTTCTGTCAGTGAATTTGCCCGGGATGCTGGCGAGCGATTGGAAGCGAAGATATTCGTGAAGGAAGAAGCTGCGAGTGAAGGTGGATGGTCAAAGTAAGTTGTAATGAAATAATATGATGGAGTTTTATCACCCGTTTTACGTGAAGTGGCGTCGTAAAACTCGGTGAAAAACGCGATATTCGGGGTGATATGCAGTAGTCGTGAAATATGTCTCTCACTAGTGTTTTTCATATCACTAGGGTGGTGAAACTCCAATGATATTAATATGATGGAGTCTCACCCGTTTTACGTGAAGTGTTGTAATATTCTGTGTAAATTATAAGACGTGTATGTCTTCGCGGCCGATAATACAATTGTTCTACGCGGAGTGAATAATTACGTAATATGTTTTCGAGTAGTGTTTTTCATATCACCAGTATTATAGGTATATTTTTTCCTGTACGTTTGCAAAATTTCGTGAAATTTTTGTTTTTGAGAGTTGAATTTGGTATCATCGAAATAGGATGTAGTAGTGAGTTGATAGTGTTGTGAGGAAGATTTCCTGAGAATTTGGTACACAATGTAGTTTCACCCTAGCGATATGAAAAACACTAGTGAAAAATATAATTACGACTACTACAAGCCGCAAATATCGCGTTTTTCACCGAGTTTTACACCACTCACGCAAAA